GTAATTATTAATACAATATTTTTATAGTAATATAATAATTAGAATTGTACTAGTATTTATACTAATTACTATATTAGTATATATTAGTGTATAAAATATTATATTATAATCAGTGTAATTACTATAAATTATAATATAAAATATAATTAATTATAATATGAAAAAACTTATATTAGTATAAATTATTAAATTAGTATATATTATATATTTTATAATAGTAATTATTATAATTATTATAACTTATAATAGTAATCACTAATATATAATATAATTATACTAATATATTTTATTATAATAACATAATTCATATAAATTATATTATAAGTAATATAATTCATTATAATTATACTAATTACAAATATATATTTTTTTATTATACTAACATAGTAATTAGTATAGTTACTAGTATTATTGTACTAATAATTATAATAATCACTATATTAGAATTGATTATTTTAAAAAATAAAATTTATTGATATTATGCTAGAAGTTATAATTGATTATTTTGTAAAATTATTAACATACATCGTAATATATCGCAGGCGCCGGTCGAAGATTTTGGAGGAGACGGTCTTGATTACCGACCTTGTTTCACAACAACTAATCTATTTGATAGTATTGACGGAGCTATTGAATGGGCAAAAGATATTGCAATCATATGGGGTTTCTCATTGGTCATCTCGAGACACGAAAAAGAAGGAAAGAATAGGTTGTTGAGGTGTGATCGGGGAAAACGTTACAGAAGCCGTGTAGGAAAGGTAGTTAATGCTATTATGAGAAAATCGAAAACTAAATCGACCAACTGCCTTTTTCAGTTAAGAGTCAAATTTGATTCTCAATCAAAAAAATGATATATCTCGGTTTCTTTAGATGATGAGAAGGGAAAGCATAATCATGCGTTGGCTGTTAATCCCGAGGGTCATCGACAGATGAGCGGGCTTAGCGATCCGTCCAAAAAGATTGTCCGTGATATGACTTCTGCTCAGGCAAGACCGACAACAATTTTGGCTGTAATTAAGGAGCAAAACCCTGTAGACAACGCTACTTGTAAACAAGTGTACAACTATAGATCTAAAGTGCGGAAAGATAATTTGCAGGGTAGAGATGTGGCTGACCAACTTCTGAATTTGGCTAAGGCCAAAAACTATATATATTACGTAGATGTTGATCCAGACACACAGGCATTGACACGTGTGTTCATGTCTCATCCTCAATCAGCCAGTCTGTTCCGGACATATTACTGGTATATCGGTATAGACTCCACGTACAAAACCAACAGGTATGTTATGTTACTTTATAAATACCAATTTAATGTGAATCTTAGTTAATATGTTTGAAAAATTTTTTATTATATTTTGCTTTCATTTTTACAGGTACAAGATGCCGTTGATGGAAATGATTGGAATGACGCCGTGCAACAAGAACTTCTTAATTGCATATGCAATTATCAAGGACGAGACGGGTACAGCTATAACTGATTGAGACTTCTGTTACCTCCTGATGTACATCCTAAATCCATTGTCACTGATAGGGAGTTGGGTTTGATTACTCCTATTCGGATGAATTTCCCTGAGTCGGCCCACTTACTTTGCACGTGGCACATCAACAAGGATGTGGAAGACATGGTGTATCGACTAGCAAAAAATAATAAGCTCTTCGCTCAGAAGTTCACGCACGGCAAGTGGAAGAAGGTTTTTGAGGCGAGCACGTTGGAGAAATACCAAACTGGCATAGATGATTTGAAGGCTACATACGTACAATTTTCTGATGTGCTACGCTATCTGGAGCAGACATGGTTAGTCCACAAAGAGATGTTTGTGAAAGTGTGGATGAACACTTTTTTACATTTCGGCAACACAACATCGTGTAGGGTGGAGAATGCCCATGCTACGTTGAAGAGGTGGTTGAACATGTCGACCGGTTCGCTCGACACGGTGTGGGAGAAGATTCACAAGGAGATTGAGTCTCAAATGACTCAAGTCAGGTATATTCCTTAAGTTATACATATTTACTGTGTTATTATTTCGTTATTTATTTGGTTATTATGTTATGTAATGTATTAACAGGGACACGCTAGAGTCTTCGAGACTTAAGATGCATACGGGTTACAAGGAACCCATTTTCGCGCCGTTGAGATTGCGGGTCTCGCATTACTGTATAGATTTATTGAATTATGAGCTTAAGAGGATGCGAGAGTTGAGCGAAGAAGTTGCCGATCGCTGCGAATGTGTACTCTGGTACACTCATGGACTTCCTTGTGCCTGTGAGCTAAGGAAGGCACTTACTGTAGATATGGAAATTACTACCCAATTCATCCACAGGTTCTGGTGCACACTAGAGCTGACGGACCCAGGTACAATTACGAGATTGATTAATTTATAGAACTTATCCTAACACCATGTACAGAATATAGAGTGTGTTGTTTAATTTTATTAATTATTTTTGTGGACAGGTCAACAGAGTGCATCAGCGAGCGGATGGACTGATCGTGACTATTTTTATCAGCTTGCCGCGGAGCTTGAAGCGGCCGATTCCGCGACGCTGCGGTACGTGAATCATTTCATCGACTCTGAACTTCACCCTAACCAACAAGGTTACAAAGAACCTGCAGTGAAGGATAATCCGAGAGGTCGGCCCAAGAAGCCCAATTCAACAATGCGCGATCCATCGAAATGAGAGTACAGTCAGAGACTCGTAAAAGCACTTCCTCGTGTGCTCCATCCCAATCGGAGTACACCGAAACATGTCGCCAGGTGGGGTGTAAAAGCACTTCTTCGTGTCCTCCATCGGTATGGAATTACAGGGAAAGAGGTTGTCCGGTGGGGCGTAACAGCAGTTCTTCATGTGCACCGACAAGCTCGTCTTCTCAACATTCAGATGAGCCGACAGGTGATTTTTTTTCTTATTTATTTGTTTATCTGAATGATAACTAATTATGTTTGTAAGTTCGATTATCAAATTTGTGACGTGAAATTATTATGATATTACAGATACTTTCTCGAAGATTTTCTACGAATATCCGCATTATTGGAGAATTCCCTACGTAATTCACCCTTACGTAGAAAGCTATCTGGATGTGACACTGGATGTGAACTGCGGATTTCAGGTGCTTGCGAGTTACATGTATAGGAACCAAAGGAGGTGGCCAGTGGTAAGAAGGAACATTGCAAATGAGATTGCAGCCAACAGACAGTTGTACGATCCTGTGGTTTACCATGAAACCGACAGAGCACTCGATCGGATAAGATGGGACAGGGGGCCTTGTGGCGAGGAGCATTGGATGGAAGTTGTAGGCGACTTCTCTGCTATTGCTACACTATTTAATGTAGTTGTCGTGTTGTTAGGCAGTGGTGACAGAAATGACAATATCGAATTCAATAGTATGACATTTTTGCCGCTGCGCGCATCACTCACGGCTACAAAACCTGACCGCGAGATTGCCATAGGTCATCTTGGTTCTTACAAACACTTCATTCGTCTGAATCTGTCATCTGATTGTCCATTACCGCCTATGTGTAACCTTTGGCGGACATTTCGAGATGTGACGGTTGCAGGATGGGATGATCAGTATCAGACAAGGATCGAGTATTGGCGGCATATTCGTAGAGGACCTGGAGTTTGATATATTATGATATTCGACTTATGTTTGTTGCGATTGATGACATTCATTATATTAATCTGCATTATGAGCGATATATTGTGATATTTGGCCGTGTTTACCTTACACGTGATATTATGGAATTTTTGAGTTGGAATGTGGTATAACATTTGGAAATAGATGAAAATAAAATGAAGTAACAACAAGTAAAAAAAAAAAAAACAATTCAAATAACATTCAATAGTGCAACAAAATCCAAAATAAAATATAAAAAAAACATTTATTACATCAATGCTGCGCCCTTTCCCAATCCGCCTTAATTAGGGCCAGCGTATCTGCATGACGTGCCGCCACAGCAGGATCAACAATCTCGCAATCCCGCAGGACGTCTGATGATGCGGACAATAACCGATTCACCCACTACACATAAAAGCAGAAGTAAAAATATTATCACATATATATTAAAAAATGACTTACTATTGTAATGAAAGCACAATAACTAAAATTTCGTAAACGACTAACATAATCGGTGTTGGCACGCGCAGGGACGGCGTCGTCGTCCGACAGATTGTCAGGCAAGAGTCCAGGATGAGAAAACTGATCATACCATTGCTGGTACTGCTCATGGGCCTCCCCTGGATCATCTGCGGTGGTCGGAGTACAATGAGTCAAGCTTA